ACAGTCTGAATCACCAGCTGTAACAGATATCAAGAAGAAGGTTGGTTTCGAGTTAAACGATGGAAGGTTTATGGTTAAATCGGGAATAGAGAATGGGATCGATTATTTAATATTATTACTAAAACAAAAAAAGGAAGAATTAGCAATACGTTCAGAATCGAAGGAGAATGAAGATGAAAACGAAAATGCTTTGACAAGTTTATCACTACAATTATATGAACAACGTTATACAAACGATGACGATCATGAGCAACCTTTCTTATTTTCATTATTAAAGAATATCGCACAAAATATGAATCAATCGAAGAATCATTATAGATACAACAAAGATGTTGAACGATTTGCACTATGTTTATTCATTATGGGCAAGTTGAATGTACAGTTAAATGTTTTTTATCTATAATTTTTCCTTTTACGTTTAGGTGGACGAAATTGTTATGATTTTGTCAGATTAAATCTCTTCTATGCATTACCGAGTATCATCACACTGGATAACATTATTAATAAACAAAATCTCAAAGTGACAGAATGTGAATTTCGTTTTCGATCTTTGAAAGATCATTTAACAGCAATCAATTCTCCATTTGTTTTTGGTTCCGAAGATTGTACCGGTAAATAGGAAGAGATTTTCAGCCAGTATGTACACCATTATTGTCAAATTTACGTCTTTCAGGTGTTGTTCCACGAATAGAATATGATGGAGCAACAAATTGTTTCATTGGATTTTCATCTCCACTTGTTCATGGTTTACCATTGATTAATGAATTTAAAACGGATGATTTCGAACAACTGAAAACATGGTTTGAAACAAAAGACAAGTCAACATTAATCAATCTCCACATGATGCAGCCATTGTCACCAACATTATCATCATCAACTTCATTCATCTTATCTGCGTATGGAACAAACAATCGGGCCATTGCAAACGATATTCTTCGAAGATGGTTATTCATATACGAACAATGTTATGCTGAAGGCATGTATTTCTTCCATACTTCTATCAAGTTCTAATGTTTGAAACTTATTTTATGAGCAGTTTTCTTTCTAGGCATAAATGAGTGAATTAAGTGTGAATTTCAAATTATCTGCTTATTTCGTTTAATTTAAGTACTGGTTACTGTTTCGATTGTTGTTGTATGTTTATTGGACGCGGTATGACTTTAAATGACGATTGTGTAGATGATACGATTCTTAATTGTTTTAGTGATCGATCAACGTTGCCATCAGGATTATCAGTAGAACGTTTGGGAGCTAATTTTCCTGTAATTTTGTTTGGCTTAATAACACCTCCGCTACCATCCATAGTTGTTGCCATTGTACTTGGAATTTGAGCATTCGTACTGACATTTTTCAACGGAATCTTAAAAAAGAGAAAAATGTCAAAACAAATTCGAACAGTATTTGACAAGATTATTCACCTTGGGTATTTGATTTGTCGATGCCTTTGAAGATTGTTGTTGTTTCTTCCTTTGATTTTCTTTATCTAATTTTTCTTTTATGATTTGACATTGGCTATTTTCAAGATGACGATAAAACATTGATAGTTTAAAACGTTCATTTTGTACACCTAATTTGAATTGACTACCACATGAACATTTCATTGAGCACGTATACATGTCTTTCATTGGTTCATTATTTTCATCAATTATTGGTTTTATTATAATTCGATAATCGACATTTTCATTCAGTTTCACGTTTTTGTTTTTACTGCACCATTTGTTTACTTGTTCCGTTAAAAATGCTCGATGACCATTTTCATTTAATACTTTGTTTTTTTTCGTATTGATTGATGATTGTGGTGTTCTTTGAATTGGAACGGTTGTGGTGCTTGTTGTCCGGGACTGTGAGAGTGGGAGAGCTGTTGTTGTTGTTGATGTTAATGTTGTAACAGCTAATGGTTTAATAGAACGGTACCTGGGTTTTTTGGAACGTTTTTCATATTTTTCTTTCAATTCGTTCTTCAATGCAATTAATGCATATTCCACTCCAATTTTTACTTCATAACCACCTTTACATTTTAAACAACATAGATTTTGAAGTTGGACTGAATCACATGTCAATATTTTCAATATCTTGTCGACCGGCATTTTAATTAAATGCGGTGCACTCCTAATAGATTGAGTTTTCAGTAACTGTTCAATATCTTCTCCGCATTGCTGTCTCACATATTTGTAAAACTCATCACTTGGGCAAGTAAAAATATCATCAATTAATTCATTGTTGTTGGTAGTTATTATTGACATTTGTTTTACTTACGCAGAAAATTTATTCTAGATTAGAAACTATAAGAATAACAGCGAACTCCGTATACACGG